GAACCTAAACCAGCTCTAAAATTTGCCTGCCCGCATGGCTTACAAAGCGCTACGAGGGTGGCTCGAGGGCTGCTGCCTGAGAGGAGTTTGTGCCTCAAAGCTCCAGCAGCGTCCATAAGCTAACGTCTGGGGAACAGCATAGGAACATGGCAATCCTACATCCTCCTCCTCCGTAAAACACTCCCAGGCTCCTGGCACCAGTAGTTCACGATCTTTGACAATTCTCAACATCCTCCATTAGAAGAATTGCTCTTAACTCGTGTGTTGCCCAAAGAACCACGGCCCTCAATTTATCTTGAGCCACCATCGCCTCCTATCTACCAGTGATGTCTCCTGGTTCTACAAGGCTGTTCCACCTCCCACCACTCATGATTTCGCACCCTGCTATCAGGTCTTCCTCCAGGTGTTTCTTTTTCAGCCTGAGGACTGCTAACCAGTGCAGCTGCTCCTCACGCATAAACCCTTCCCCACCTTTCATCACCTTTGCTGCCCTTTTTCGTTCTCTCCCCGTTCTGCTGACTGCTCTCTGAGTTGGGGTGAGGGCTGCCAGCAAACTGTGAGTTTAGTGATGATGCTCTCTCTTTTGTTCTTTATTCCTCTCCTAATATTTTAGTATAGTCATTGTACTAAACACTACAGTCTTTGTCTTTATGGAGTTGATCTCTCCATTGAAATGGGGTCACAGAGCAATTTCTTTCATGGTTCTTTGGGTGTGATCATTGAGGAGATGTAAATTGGTCACTGCTGTGGTTATAAAGAGCTCTCCTTGGTCTTTTCTTCAAAGTTGAAAATTTGAGCAAGAGCCTCAGTTTTACAAAAAAAAAAAAAAGAGACAGTGGGTGAGGCAACCCGAATTTTGTTTCATTTTTAGGAATAAACTCAAACTAACTAAAGCGTTAAACTTGGCATGGCAGGAGACATTAATGAGAACCATGTGCTTTGGTATCTTGCTAAAATTTGGGTCAAAAAACCAAAATATGATTAGTTGGTAACTCACCATTGCAAGCACAGTACATGTTTCTGTTCTGATGTCCAAACAAAGGCATTTTTATGAGATCATGTCACCTTTATACCAATGTAACTTCAAAATCATTGCCCTTTTTTTTTTTTTTTCACAAATCCCTCTTGTTGTTTACCTCTCGGTGATATCCACAGACCAAACTTCTTTTGACGCTTTTATCGGCATTAGTTTTTAAGTATGACTGTGCTCCCAACTGCTCAAGGAATACAAATCAGAGGGAGCATTAAGCTGGAAATAAGCAATTATTGTGCTAATTGATTCTTTCCCAGAGACGGAGAAGGGTTTCTTGTGTGGTTTCCATATAGCTTATGCTTACCCTGATGCCAGGTGGGACAACTATAACACAGATGAACCTCAGGCAGCTTTTACTGGGCACAAGCACCAGCAGCGAGGAAGGCACATCAACACAGGCATTGTCAGTCTAAAGCCTGCAGTAATTACCGGTTTCCAGATGATCTTTTACAGCCCAATAAAGGCTCTCTGTCATGGTTTCATGCAATTGTAGCTTCTGCCAACGCGGCTATCATGCAAACATACCCTCAGGGAGAAAGCTTTCTGTCTCAAACCGTCTATGTAATGCTTTCCCTTGCTTTTTATTCTTTGCACATGTGTGTCGGGATTTAAATAGAAGGCGGTTGATTGCAAAGATCATGTGTGGAAAGACTTATATCTGAGAACGTGTAGGCCAAGAAATGGAGCTTTGCTTTGTCGGGAGCCGATATTCTACTAAGGCATTTCTGGCAACAGAACTCTCAGTCAGTAGATGCGGGTGCCAGTGCTGCCTGTGGCTCAGGATTTAGGTATAACCACTTTTCACACAAGTTTTTTGTTGCTTCGCATGTCAAATCCAAATGTTTCACTGCAAAGACAGCCATGGGCTAATCTGGGTACTGACGTGGGGATTTGGGTTCACAGTCAATTACTAATTACCGGGCACTCCAACATCAAAATTCCCTAAGCAACTTTGCAAATCTCAGCCAGACTATCTGAAATAACAGCTATTTGACCAACACCTAACTTCCTTAGACAGTTAATGTGCAATTTTCTGGTCTGACAATAACATGGTTAAAGGTCCTTTTTCCAGCCGCAGATCAAACACTTGCATGCAATCATCTATTCCCAGTAGAAGGGAAAAAAACCCCTCTTGTTTAAGAATTTTGTTTCCTGATGAATGCCTGCTGTGCTAATATCCCTAATCAAGGGTCATGAGAGCCCAGACAGTGGCAAACCCACATTCCTTAGCGCAAACAAGCCCTTCAAAATCCTTCTGGTTTTAAGGGATAGGAGAATCCTTGTTGAGAATGAGAAACAGGCTGGTTGTTTCTGCAGCATCTGGGTTTTAAAGATCCAGTTAAAATTGCCAGGGGACCTTTAAGAGTTAAACCAAAGCAATTAATCACAGTGATGTGCGTTACTGTAGGAGGATGCCTTTACAGAGGCTGTCGGAGCGTGTAGAAATCCCGTTGCAGGATTTACAGGAGACATCACGGGGAAAGGTTTGGAAATTCTCTTCCCAGAACATTTTGTGGGTGAGATGTAGGACTTCCTCTGCGAGCCAAGTAGAAGCGACCCGGCAGGAATATATCTCCATCATCCTCTATGTTTAGGTGACGTGGACTGTCAGGCCCTAAGGCTGTCCATGAGATGCTTGTACCGTGTCAGCTCCATTTGCATCTTTGCCCCTAACTAAAGTGAAGTTTGATCGCTTTGCTGACCCCAGCAGTTCCAGAAAACAGGTGACCTTGCAGCCCTGAAATTGCCTCTTTGCCTGATGTTTCACGTTTTGAGTTCATTCTAGGGCCAGTACTTAAAGGGACTGGCTCAAGGCATAGAATAACTGTATGTCATGGGATGGACCTGAGGGACCCCAGGAAGAGCTGCCTTGGAGAACCTCTAGGTGATCTCACAAAGCATACAGCAGAAAGAAGGTCACCATGTCCAGCACTGGTGTCCAGCTTGGACTTAAATTTTTGTTCTTTTTATGATTGCAGATTTTTTTTTTCCAGAGCTTGTTGACTTTGCACTTGAATGGCTGTGCTGGTAGGAGGAGGAATAGGCGCTCTGTGTGTTAGACAGAAAACCTCATGTTTGTGTCTTGATCTAACCTGTGAATGTTTTTGTTCTCCTTCAGACTATCGTACTGGTCCCTGCTTTAGCCAAGTAAATAACCAGATGTGCCAGGGCCAACTCAGCGGAATCGTCTGCACCAAGACCATGTGTTGTGCCACCATTGGGCGGGCCTGGGGTCACCCATGTGAGATGTGCCCTGCCCAACCTCACCCCTGCCGCCGAGGTTTCATTCCCAACATTCGTACTGGAGCCTGCCAAGGTAAATGCCGTGACTCCCTTATCCATCCTGATGTGCCCCAAGAGGGCAAGTGATGAATGCCTGCCAAGAGCCCCAAACCAGAGAACAGTTCTCTGTGTAAACTTTGCTAAATCCATCGTTGTACATCCCAGAGCATCACCATGGACCTTGGATCTCTCATGGGATGACCTAAGATCATCTTAGCTCACTTAAATGTTCTGGCCATGCTGTGACATTCCTCCATCCCACAAGATGTAGTGAATCAGGCTGGTGTTTCTCCAGGTTTAAAACTAAGTTACAGCCTTCCAGACACCCTCATTCTGTGGTGCTGCTGTTGTTGTTGGAGCTTCTGTCCCAGCACTGGAGCGTGATCAGTACTTGTTCAGGTGACTGGTGCTCTGGAAATTGTATTATTGGTTCAAAACAGAAGCTATAACTCCTTTGAGATCACACAAGCAATTAAAATGTACATAAATCACATGCTTAGAGGTTGCATTCAATGTCTAGGACACCCAGACAAAAATAGCAGAATCGTCCACTGACTTCCCATCAGCAGATCCCACTGGCAGCCTTTCTGCAGCTGCTGTTGCTTCTCCCCATTGATGGGTTGCAGAGATCTCCATGTAGAGTTGCATGAATTCCTTTCTGCGTCTGCAACTAATTTCAGCCTTTACCTGCCACAATCAAAAGCCAAAATTGCAGTCGAAATCCCACGTTGGCCGGTGTCTGTAGGATAAAATTGGGAAGGATGATGAGGAGAACTGTCTTGCTGTCTATTGTAATCTGCGTTTTACGGCCCCAATCTCTTCAGGACAGCTTGGCCTATTTAATAGATCTGTCACTCACTGTTAGTGCAAGCAGAACAGGAGTATAAATAATGTCCACAGCACAGGAACGTGCTGGTTCTAGCAGCAAGTACTGAGGTGCTTTGGAAAGCAGAGTGTCCCCTCAAAGTTGAGGACACCGTGGCTGCAGGGAGAGCCTTCCTGGGACAGGGCTGAAGAGCAGAAGCTTGCAGTCCATCGGTTCCCCTCTCTGCCCTGCAGCAGATGTTGCTCTCTGATGGCTGCAGGAGGACATCCCACCAAACCAATTCTCGTCCTCAACTCAGCTGTCAAAGTGGAATGAACCATGGTGGGGTAGACACATTGATGTTTGCTTTGGAAAAGATGACTATACTTTTATCTCCCTCTTGCTTGTGTAGATAAGCCAGCAATACCTTTATATCCATTTTCTATCCTTCACCTTATCTCTAATGTAATCTGATGGGTAATTGCATTACAAAATGTAAATCCACCTACTTGGAGCAAAGCTGCTTTCTTATAGCACTTTCATGATTGAACGTTCATTTGTTGCAATGGCTTCAGTTTCTAACGTCTTTGTTCTTCTTCCTGTAGACGTGGATGAATGTCAAGCCATCCCTGGCCTCTGTCAAGGTGGTAACTGCATCAACACAGTGGGTTCTTATGAGTGCAAATGCCCGGCGGGACACAAGCAGAGCGAGACCAGCCACAGATGTGAAGGTAAGACTGCAGACTTCTGCACGGCTTCACCAGACCGCTCCGCACTGGGCTCCCCGATCCGCTCTGAGAGCACAAGGGCATTTAAAAACTCAAGAATCTCTCTGCTCACAGTGTCTCTCCAAGGCTGGCAAGGTAGAGGTGGGAAAGAGCTCCCATGCCAGCCTTGATCCCAGCTTCCAGCTAGGAGGGAGTACTGCAGGCGTCGAGGCATGTTAGAAAATGTACTGCAAGATGAATTTCTGATCTGTTTATCTGCTTCCCACAGTCCAAGGCAAGGAAATAAGGACTAGAGCTTGCCCGATCTTCTCTTAAACTAGAAAGAGTTCTTTATTTCATGCAGACGTTTTCTGAAAGATATTGCATAACAGCAACACAGACTCCTTGAACAGAAGGGACCTCTGGAGGGCTTTAGTTCAACCTCCTGCTTAGATCAGGGCTGGCTTCAAAGCTAGATCAGGTTGCTCATGTTGCTCAGTTTGGTTGAGTTTTGAAAACCCAAGGCCTTTTCTTTTTGGGCTCTTGTCCCAGAGTTGCACCACTGTCATGGTGTGGAATATTTTCCATTCATCCACTTGATATTTATCTTTTTGCCACTTGCAACTTGTTGCCTCTAGTTCGATGGAGTAACTAGCAGGAAGGCAGAGCAGGAGTCGGACTAGCTGGGATGGTGATGGAATAAGACAACCAGAAATAACATCGTGGCTCTCAGTGCACTGCAGAAGGTCTGATTCCATGAGATGAGGGTATGGAGCAAGTAAATGCAGTGTTGCTTCACTGACTTGGTGATATTTTTCCAAACTGACGCGTTGACCAGAACCTGAACCTCGTCCTTGATGACAAAGCAGGCACAAAGGAAAACTTGGTATTGGGGACTGAAGTGGCAGTCAGCAGCACGTCCGTGAGCATCCCTCCTTTGAGCCAGTGGGCCGATACCGTCCCAGCCCCACAGGGGAAGCGTACCTCCCTGCCAGTCCAGGGTGGTCCGCAGCCGGCCTGCCTGCTGTGCCTGCTTTTCCTGTCCTTCCGGTTATTTTGCAGGATACGCTTTGCTCGTCTTCAACAGAGTTGTAAATGGGAATGACCTTTTCAGCCTCAGCATCTCTCTTGGAAATGACAGGGTGCTTCAGAGGCATGGTTTGTGCTCACAGTTCGGGATGCTCACAAACATTTCTGCTTTAGCAGTAGCTACAGAGCTACTGTAGCTTGAAGGCAAGCAGGGAGGAATGCAGTCTGCCTCATCGCAGCATCAGCCCTAGCCGGGTGCTGTGGGCAGCCTGGGGAGCGCAGTCAACTTTCAAACCCTCTGGAGAAGTTCCCAACCTGATGGAAGGGAACTTGGCAGAAACTACTCTTTGCCCCTTCTTCAGCACGGAAGTTGAGGAGTTTAACTATTAATTACCTTCTAAAAACAGTTCAGTAGAGGACCCAGGTGATGACTTGCAGGTGCAGCTCTGCTCCGAACATGTGGGCAAGCTGATCTGCGATGCCGGCAGGCAGATCCCCGGGTCTGGAGGTAGGACTGCAGGAAACAGAAAGGACCGGTCTCAACAGCTCAGCAGGGTCTGGTAAGATGGTGCAGAGACCTCTGCCATTTTCAGGGGAAACACTTTCCAGGTGGTCAGCGGAGTTGCTTAGAAATGGCCAAATACCTGATCCTCAGACCAGAGGATGAGTTTCATCTGGGGTGTGAAAATTTAACAATGTAAAGACCGGTTGTGGTAGTTAAGGCAGAATTCTTCCTGGTTCTGGAAGCCCCTAGAACTGTTCTTTGTTCTTGGACTCGGGCTAAGTTGCTCCACTGTATTACTTAGCTAAATTCAGGACGTGCCTAGACAGTGAGAGGCAATGTCTTGGTGTCTTGGTCCATTCCGTAAGGCACAGGCTTCTGTGTAAAACGCGGAGCACAGGCAGGATGAGGTGCAATCTGGATGTTAAACATTCACAGTGTCATCAATCTGAGCCCTCTTTGTGACAGTCTGGCTCCAGTTCCTTAAAGTCCAGTCTCAGCATCTCCTTCATCCCTGCTGGGCATGTCTCCGAGAGGTGTGCAGACCGCTATGGGAAGGACACGTTCTCCCCAGGCTTTTTGCAGCAGTTGTCGTGGGCCTTGCCATACCTTGCCAGGCAGGCTGCACCTCTCAGAAGTAGGGGAATAAACATTTGTTGTATTTTCCAAACATCTGGCAAATGAAAAGGAAAACAGCATTAAACTTTTCCTGCCTTGGTTGTTAAAGCTCTTTCCCACGTACCCTAATGAAACCCTGCTGACCTGCGTTTGCCATTTTAGGGATAAAATGTGTTTGTTGTGCTGGTGTGACTGCATCCCACCTAGCTGGGCTTCAGGCACCCCACTTCCCTTTCATTCCTCCCCAAGGTTCTGTTGTAACCAAGACAAGGCATGATGATGCACCAGAATCCAGATGTTTGACTTGGAATTTGTTTCCAGGTGGCAAAGTTACACAGAGAGAGAGAGAGAGAGAGCAGTTAAAGCGGTGAGCGTCACAGCAACCCACCCCCATGGCACGGTGGGTTTGACAGCCCACGTTGTCCCGTGGGGTTTCTCCCAACAGTCAGTTCTCAGGGAAAGGAGCATCCCTGCTTCCAGGTGACCCTGCTTCCATTGTTCCCGTACCTCCATCCCCCTGTAATCCAGACGTTTTCCTTGCTAGTATAATTGTGGTAGTCTCTGTGTCAGTGGATGCCGTGTGACCTGGGTTCAGCCCTTCAGAAAACCTCTTCCAAAGTGAGACGCCAGCTACAGAGGTTAATCCTTCGGTGGGGGATGGACATTCTTTTATGTCGAGAAGACATCTGTGTCGGTGGATCTTCCTTGGCAGGATGCCAGGACACTTCCTAAAATTTTAACAGCAGGGTTTCTCGCAGTGCTCTGGCATCCAAAGACTTGGAACCTCTAGAAGCCAAACCAGCCTTTTTACGTGCATCTCGGGTGAAGAACCGGTTCCCCGTACCCAGTGATGTCTCGTGCCAGTTTGACTGGCCAATGGGCTAAGGCTGGACTGCACGAGAACCACGGGCCCAACCTCAGGACACAAAAAGAAAAATTGGTCTTGCCTTGGTCTGCTTCACCCGTGCTGGCCGGGGACCAGGCAAAGCACATATGAAATCAGTTTAGCTGGAATCTCCTATATACCAAGATTAAAAACAATCCATTGTCTGAATCTGTCATCCAGATGCGAGGGGCCTCTGCGTGGGTCCCCGCTTCCCAGAACGCCTGCAAAAGCAGCATGATGTGGCCATAAACAGCTTCCTTTCACTCTCCTTCCTGGATGGCCATAAAAAGAGACATCTCCAGCATCTATGGTGTCTGTTCCATCACTTAACTTACCTCAAGTGCTAAGGAGACCACCAACAGAGGATGCTTTCCTTTGCTATGATTTACTGACCAAAGGGACCTTCTGTGAGAATGCCATAAACACAAGAGATGCTCTAAACAGACCGGGTTGAGAGCCTTTCTGAGGGCTTGTTTCACAGACACGAATCACCAGCACGTCCCCACCAGGCAGCCAGAAGGTGAAGAGGATGCCTTTGCGTTATCGTTGCTCCCCTCTGCACGTGTACCCCATGTGAGTCACTAAAAGTATGAGAACAGAGGAGAACAGAGAGAACATCTTGTAAGGAGTTCACCTGATGCTGATGCTTTGTAAACACAGGAAGATCTGGGCCCTGTCTCAGAGTTTGCTCCACGCTTTGATACGTCAGGAGCGAACCCTTTGGTACAGCTGATAGCGCCGAATTCCTGCTTTGCCGAAATTGTCTGTACTGCCAAAGTCACTGTATCAGTCCAAGTAACCTCCTCACCCAGCCAAGGGTTTTAACCAAGACAAGGACCGCAAAGCGTAAGAGGATATTTTCTTTAGCCAGGTGTTCTCCAAGCCTAAAATCTCAAAGCTGCAGGAGTTCCCTCGTTGAGTCTGTTTGCGCTAACTTTATAGCCGGAGAACGGAGTGCTCTCTCAGCTTGCACTGAGACCATCTTGCTTTAGGAAGAGGAGATGGTTTCCTCTTGTTTTCAGATTCCTTACCCAGGCCCAGCATCCAGGAAATATTAAAACTAGATTAAACGTCTATGTTAAATTCTTCCCAAGTTCCCAGGAGCTTGTAGTTTCTGCTTAGAAGATTCCTCCTGGGGAGTGAAGTCAGCAGATGGGATTGCGTTTGAGCCAAAGGTCAGAGCCCATGTCACTCCGTCTGCTGATTAATGATGTCTCCCTCATTAACAGCAGCAGCAAGTACCACTAATCTTCTCCGGACTGTTTATTGGTGGGAATAGGCGGGAGTAGAGATAATGTTGTTGGTTTCCCATAGTGATACTTATCTCTTAACACAAATGGCACCTGGAATTAAGGCTCCATTTTCAGTCCCTGAATCCCTGAAGAATAAAGATGCTTTTTCTTGTGCGAGATCTTCTCTGCTGATAGCGGAGGCCAGCTCAGGTCCTGATCTCCCAAGCACGTGAGGGGGCTGCAGCTGGATCCACTGGATGAATTTTGGTCAACCCCAGAAGGAAAATTATGTCCTTTCTCTATCTGTAAAACGTGAAAACGTGCACACGACATCAAGTTTGGATTTGAACTCCAATATCCTCCACGTATCCTCCTCAGTTCCAGAGTTATTTCTGCAGCTCATCTCTAACGAATGTGATACTTTCAAATAGTGGCTTATTTTATGCCTTTGTTCATTGTATTCTGAGGGAGCTCGAGGGATCGAGAGTTCCTGAGCTTGGGGCTGTGCAACATATCATGAGAAATTGCTGGCACAGAGTTGCCTGCTCGCTTTCCGAAAGATAGAGGCAGAAACGCAGCGGCGGAGGGGGTGGGACTGGGGGTGGGGAAGGGACAGGCTGCTCTCGACCAACGCTGGGGACAAGGCAAGCTTGGCAAGTGCCAGAGGACGGCGTTTATTGCATCGTTTGTATGAAAAGATGAGCAAGGAGGGCAAATGTTGTCAGTTTAGGGCTAAATTGACAGATACCGTGCCTGG